CTTAGTCCCTGTCATCTCGTTAATTGCCCATACAAGTCACTTCCTACCTTAGGGCAAGTGGAAGGCAGTCTCTTGTATCTAGAACCTCTTAGTGCATTTACCTAGCAATTGCCCTCTCCCACTATAGTAACCAATAATTACTTTACAATAAGAAATACTAGCCTGCCATTGGATGTGAAATGAATCTGCAGTCATGAATAGTTGTCTGTTCCACGCTCTGCCTACATCTCTGTGAGCTATTTGTGTCCACTCACCATACCTGAGAAGGTAAGCTCTGAAGGGCAGGGGGGAGTTAGAGCATATCTTCAGAGTCTTGCATATCATGAGTGAATATTCACTTTTAAAAGGGAACAAAATTACCCCCTTCGTTGTTTTTTTTACACTAGATCATACATTATGAAATTATTATCTTTCAGTTACCTGGCCGGGCAACCAGTTTTGATAGTCAAGGATCCTGTCCATCTCCCAAACCACCTTCCACACCATAATGCCTCCAAAATCCGACCGTTATAGTAAGGACACAGGACCATGTGCTCATCAGATAGAACAAAAAGAGAAGGTTTGATTTCCTAATTTAAAATATATCCCAATAATGAACAAACTTGATGTGCAATTTTTCAGTTACTTTTCTGTATGTTTATTAATTTTAGACACCTTGATATATTTTACTTGAAAACCAAATAGTCCTTCTTCCATGAGGTATTTTGTCCTTCGTGTCATATGCCTATTAGCACAAAGAATGTTTTATTAAGTTTTAATTCTTTGCATAAGCAAAGAAATACATTTTAAAAAAAGAATCCATACTTATCTAAAATTAAATATGATTTATGCTGCTATTGTATAAAGTAGCACATGTCACATATGTATGGTTTTGATTTCGTTATAACTATGTTCATTTCTAGTTTTGCACATATTTTTATATAAACTTTAATGAAAATTTTGAACTTAATTTGCACAGCATTACACCCTTATACAGTCAAATTAATGTAACTTATCTGATGATATGTTCTTTCATTCTCAGCAAATTATTTTCTTGATAAGGTTTGGCTCTGCTAAACTAAAACCATTGTCTCTCAAGATTGTTTAAAACATACAGATAACACTATAATTTAAAGAAACATTTTGAATACAAATTTAAGAAGTAATATTTAGCAGCTGGAAAATGGAGGTTGAGCCATTTGGGCTACCACTTTATATATTGTCTTAATGTTACATTAGTTCACACATCTGTTGCACTGTTGAACTGATTTTTTTTTTAATTCCAATAATCTTAAACTCAAATGTAGCATTAGTATTTCCAAATGAATAGAATTAGAAGTCGTTCATTTTTTTAAGTGTTCGTAAGGTTCTCAAGTACTGTGATTATGTATATTTTGTGACATGAAACTGTCATGTAGATCTTGTGTTTCTGATAGACCATACTAACAGACACCAAAGGTACAATAATGCCTGCTCATTGTTGTTTAGGTTGTACACAGTAGGTGACTTTTAAACCCAATCAGAAGCTAATTAGTAAAACTGGGTATTTTCTTCAAGAAAGGATGACTTGCTTTTTAGCAAATTATATATGATAGACCATAGATAATATAATTTCAACGTTTAATGAAAATAAATAATTCTAACGGTCACGACCCACAGTCCTTTCGAAAAGCATTTGCCTTCATAAGGATCAAGGATCAGGCCACTAGTGGTAAAAACTATGCAAACGTTTTTACATGAGAGGTCCGCTTTTTATTGTCTCATTTCTGGGCCACACTGGAAGGTATCCATACTGAATAATTCAGCCTTACTTTTGAGATTTGTCTTGTGGATAGTGCATATTTCAAGCTTATCCCAAGACAGGAGGTTAAAAGAACAAAACAAAACAAATATGAACTTAGAATATATAAACACATTCATCAGAATGAGAAATTTTTATTAGCAATTACAAAATTTTGATTTTAATAAAATCCCATGTTTCTAAATATTAAAAAAAATAAAAAGTTTTAAAAGCCTTGAAATTTTGTTTGTTGGCATCTCTCATTACTATTAATTAAGATGTAAATATTTTACACATTTAATATTTTAAAGACAAACAATTCCCTAAAATTTTTCAAATGCTTGTTAACATCCTAATGAAAACAAGTATTCCTCACTAAATTTTCTAATTGAAAATAATAGAAGAAAGCTGTTTGAAAATACTTGGTTACCTTACCAAGCCTAAAAGAACCACTTGTTGCAGATGACACCTCCATTTTGTAATTCTTTATTTTACTGGAAAATAACAGTTGTCATATGGGAAGATAAAAGCTATCCTCTTAATAAAATGACATTTTTAGAGGCAATTGTTTTATTAGTAGATATAGCTGCAGTTTACAATTAATTAGCGAATGTATTTCCTAAGTGAGTGTAATAGTTATTTTCATCTGAAAACATAGTTTAAGGACTTCATATTCATTCTTAGAAGCTCATGATTTTCTCTGCCTCCTATGGAGAAAAAGCCAATGTTTGTGATGAAAAAAATGCAACCACCCAACCAGGATACTTTAATATGGGGATCATAGATTAAAATAAGTTTTTAAAGTAATTTTAAAAAAAGTTTCCTAGGGATTCGAATACACTCATCATGCTAGAGTATTTATTAATTCCATGAACGAAATTAAGGAGAGAAAATTCACAAGTCATCTGTCACACAATACATGAAAGGTTTACCCTCATATTGATGAAGAATGGTTATTTAAAATGATAGTTTATATTATAAAAATATAATACTACCACTTTCACTACAACACATCCTCACACTACACAGCCACACACTCATAAACGTAACTTATCCTCTTTCTACTTGCGATTGAAGATAGAATATGTTTTATTTCAATATTTAAAATAAAGTTTGATGTTACAGATTTCCTCCACTAATTTGTGTGGCACACCACATTTCAATGACAGCAGCTTAGGTATCTAAGGAATACCTATTTTCAGGGACTTATTCAGGGACTTGCCAAACATAAGCCTAGGCAAAAGGAGCAAATGTTGATTCATTAGCATAACAACATCCATGATGTTTGGGGGTTCTTTATTTATTTATTTGTCTATTTATTTACTTTACCTCATTCACTAAGTAACCAGGAGAATGAGGAAATTGAATATGAAAAGAACATTAGTGTTTGTGCAGTACATAATCTCACAAAAATCTGAACAGTTGATGCTTTTTGTACACTGGTTTCTTAATATTTTTCTTGACAATTTTAATTTTCTTTGTCAGGTCAGTCCTGTTTCTGGTACTTTACTTTACATGTAAAACTTCTGATACTCATATGTTCACCATTCAGTAAAAATATCATGAGAACTAGTGCCAGGGAATAAGAAATGGGAACGTAGAGCCAAGCACCCACTTTCCTATGCAGTTTTGGGGAGTGTGTACATGTTCTAGTTACTGCAGGGAGATCACAACTGATCAATACTGACTCAGGTTTTAGATAAAAGCAAATATATTTGAACCTATTTGGTTGTGATATTTAACTGACATTTTCACCTGTGTTTATTCTCCTATACTGTTTATTATTTTAAAATTTTGCAGACTCAGTAAAGCACTATCAATCTCTTAAGGCTTTCATTTAATGATTGTTTCAAAAATGAAAAAAGCCAAACTTCCACACCTTTTTGAACTTTTACTATCCATAAAACAAAATATAACTTATTTCAGAATGAGTTATCAGAAGAGCCAAAGACCATTACAAATAAAGGGACACAAAATCTTAACACTGAACACATGGTCATTTCTTTACCTCTTTAAAAAGAGTATTGGATATTATCTCACAACATATATATTCATAGAATGGAGTTCCATCTGATGTTTTTATTTGCTACCTTAGTTGCGATTATGACTGATTAATAACCTGGTAATTTAAAAAAAAACCCTAGGGTTAAGGATTTATGAAAGTCATTCAACCTCTATTGAATCTAATGAAAATGTGGAGATCTGTTTTCTTCACAACTTGTTCTTGAAGCAACTCTGGTTGTTCCAAGGTACTTGAATTGACCTGAACTTTTATCGTTTTTAGCCTAAGAGTGTATTGCTGCCAATAAGAAGTAATGCAAAAGCACAGAAAGTAAAGTAATTTAAAGTAAGACTGTACATAACTAAATGGTAAACAGATGTGTTAAAGCATATGGAAATAAAGATACTTGAATGCAAAACCAAAAACTCCTTTGTATTTTAACTTTTAGTGGAAAGTAAATCCTCTAACATTGTTTAAAAAACACACAACACAGCATATTAATAGTTACTTAGTCACATGGCTCAGGATATGATTCATCTGAACCTAAGATCCATTATTTAAAAGAATAGAGTGAGTTTGTATTTTACATGGGAAACAGAGCTAATGAAACTAAATGCTGTTTTCAATATGTTATTCAGTGATACTCTTTAAAGTAAGAATTTTCTATTTCATTAAAAGACTTTTCCTGTATTTACTCAATCTTATGTTAAATTAGAATGATTGGTAATTTAATAAAAGGTGCATTGGTAATACTTGTGATATTTCATTAACAGTTCGCCAAAAGATGTATATTTGAACAGTGGCATTTAATTTTCATTTCAAGTGTTTTCTCATCAAAGTAAAAATTTGTTTTCACTTTTGCCCTGTTCATCATAAAGATAGGTAACCAAGGTTTGACTTAATGGGATGACAATATCATGCTATAGCAGCTTAAAAAAGAAATCACTAAATTAAGGTGTGAGATGGGACTTAAAGATTTATTAAATGCCAACATTTTGAATACTAGAAATGGTGATTGAAAAAATAAGTAGAAGATGTTTAAAAGAAAAGATAGGCTTCTTCATGCCTGAAATTATTTAAATACACTCCTACAAGGAGGAATTGATTAGAATAATCCTATTTTTATCTATACTGAGACACTGGAAGTGACTTACTATATTAGATCTAGAGACGCAAATAATATTTATATGGAAATGTTTTCATCTCAAACTGACAATTACTTCTAAGCTCACCTGGGTCATGAGACCCCTCTCTAAAGAGCAAACTATGCCTGATCTTATCATGAAAGTGTAAAAATAGGCCATTTTCTTTGGAAATTTTGTTGCGATTTCACCTGCTATGCACAGAATCCCTATTTACTGCCTTGGGTGGTGGATTTCAATTATTCAATTTCATGTTTTCCCTCAAAAACAATTTATTGGATAACAATGCATGTTATAGAAATGAGTCAAAAATTATTTGGAGAAGTAAGTCTCAATGTTGGAAGGTTAATGCATTGAATTTTTGTTTGTCTTATCTCTTCAAAATTGTTTTTTATTTTCCCAGCCTGAACATCAATACAGGAAATTACGTTTGACTGTGATATTGCAGTAGAATAAAGTTTGTGAACCAGAAAAACCCTACAAACCCTAAGGCTAGGTACAAACTGGCCATAAAATCGTTCTCTATGAAAATTGCATGGTTTATTCTATTTATATAGATCGCTTTGTGGGGTTTATTGTATCTTTTGTTTTTTTTAAAGACCCTCTAAGCTTTTCATTTAAAAAGCACAGTAATCCCCAGTGTGAATAGCTTCATAAATTTTATTACTGTAGGCGAAAAAAGCAAGTAGACCAACTTTAATATACAAAATATTTGCATTTGTGGTTCTTTATAAGCAAAAAATCCAACCCAAGTTCATGTCATTTACATTAACGTTTTATTGACCCTTCGAACTGAGATATGTGATTGAGTTCATCTTCAAAATATGGACAAGTTTTAAAACACAATGAAGTGAAACTTTCAGAATGAAGAATGAAGAAGTCAAAATAGAAAA